CATAGGGCCCCAGAACATCCGCATCGATTTGATTTTATTTATTTCGCTTATTTATTTATTTATATATTTTTTGTATATGAACATGGTACATCAATCCTTCCTAGAACTAACTCTCTTTGTGCATATCGGGAGTCTCATCTGTGATCCTTCCAGTTTGACGCCTTACTGTCTTGCTAGTCTCAGGAGACCACAGGTGCGCCGTCATCCTGATCACCAGGATTCTAGCGCTAATTACTAGCCTGTCCCTGATCTATAGGTTGCTGCATTATCATTGTTGAAAGTAGACGGTGCATGTAATGATTTCCTTAGTTTCAGTCTTACTGGGCCTGCCCTGCAGAAACCAGTGATTTACAGCCTAACTATAGTTACAGTGCATTTCTCCGCAGCTGCCGATGCTGCGGCGAGTTAGCGCACAGACTTGAAGTAAGAGCTTTGGGGAAGCTCTTACCTCAAGTAAGAGTTTCCCCACAAACTTCAAGTCTTTGCGTTAACTGCAGACAGACCACGCTACATATGACGGAGCATGGAGCTTCGTCTGCCTGCAGTTAGCATATGATCATTCACTTGGCCTCGGTAGGTTGCCTACAAGAAAATACAAACACTCTATAAATGTATACAGAGGTCAAGCGTGGAGTAAAGGAAGCTTCGTTAGATCGTCCTTGTGCTCACACGTGACGCTGGCTTGCATCGCCAGCTGCGGCGAGGTGAAGTGCAGCTCCAGCTGCAGCTCCTGTTAAGCTGCCTCCTCCCCCGCAACCGCAGGCCCGGAGCTGAATGTAGCATGGTCTGGCTACAGGTAGCACAGGAACCTTCACTTGGCTTGGCAGCTTGCGTGTAAGCAAATGCAAACCTTCTACAAGTACATCCAGAGGTAAAGCATGCAGCAAAGAAAGCTTCGTTGAAGCTCCGCTGTGTGCACGCGTGTGGCTGGCTTGTATTACCAGCCGCAGCGAGGTGCGCTGCAACCCCACTTCAGGATGCCTCCGCCCCGCAACACCCAGGCCCTGAGCTCAAGACCCAGGAGGCCTGGAGACAGGGGAAGGATGTCAGATGCTTTGGGGAATGTTTTGCTTTAAGTCTTTATCTACATTGCAGCTCGCTTCTGTCCTTGATTAAGTCCAGTGAGCAAGCGCTATACTCCCCGCAACACCCAGGCCCTGAGCTCAACGCCCAAGATGCTTGAGGACACGGGA